GCTCAAGATCCCAAGAGAAGAATGAAGGGGAAAGGATTGCAGTGTGGCAATCCCCCCCCACCACCCTGGAGGAGGGGGTGATTTCATGCTTTCTATCTCTTTCTCTCTTTCTGGTCTCTGGTGAGTGCACGTGGCCTATAGCAAAAATCTGTTTCTAAAACAAAAAAGAAAAGAAAAGAAAGAAAGAAAGAAAGAAAGAAAGAAAGATGCCATTGAATGCCAGTTAACCTAGCATCTGTATAGCAGCTTATAAAACTCTGCACTGCAGAGCAGAAAAAAATATGAGGTGGATTTCTACTCAGACTTATTTGCCAAAATACCACAAAGCTCTCGTGATAAAAATAAGATTTGTTGTTACTCCCCATCTACGAAAATTTACCCCTAGGGTTGTAGCACAACTGTGCATTCAACTGATACTCCTAACTGATAATTAAAAAAAAAAAATGTCAGAGGTTAGTGTGCTTACCAGGGAGAGATGGAGAGGGAGCAGGAGAAAGTACCAATGAGGCATGGTCACACTGCAGTTACTTCTCCATCGCTCCGTCCTCTTGGGATTCTGAGCACTCATACACACAGGTTGGCGTGTTGTTCAAGATGCTGGGTCCAGGGCTGAAACTGTGTGATTGGCCATATGGGACCCAGTTCCCTTAACTACCAGGCCATGGACCAGCTCAGTCAGTAATTGTCTTTTTTTTTTTTTTTGAGAAGTTTTTGCTATAGGGCACGTGCACTCGCCAGAGAGACAGAGAGACAGAAAAGGAGAAATCACCCCCCAGGGGGGATGGTCATGCCACAATCCCTTCTCCTCCATTCTCCTCTTGGGATCTTGGGCACACACGCACATGTACCCGGTGTGAGTTTAAGCCACCAGGTCTGGGACTCGAACCGTGGTCGACTACATGAGAGTCCAGTCACATAGCCATTATGCTAACTGCTGGTCCCAGTAATTGGTTATTAAAAGACTCTAGAGTCACCACCAACTGGTCCAAATCTTTTCTTACTATTTATGTGTTCTTTGTCCTTGACAAGTCATGAGGCCTCTCTATCCATCAGTTTTCTTCAGTAAATGGGAAGAACAAATTTATCAAAGTATGAAGGGATTATATAGATAATGGGTATCTAGCACCAGGCACATTTCAACGCTTAATAAAGGGCATATTTAATGAATAACTACTGTAACTGAAAGCATGAGAAAAACGCTTCAATTAAAAAAAAAAACACTTGAAAATGGAAGTGATTTTTAGTTTCAATGAAAGCATATGATTAGAAAAGTCTACAAATAACAAACACATGGAAATTAACTGACTCACAGCACATGGTTCTGAGAGGCATGCGTAAGGATCAGTTTCCACTGATCCTTTCCGAACTCAACTGTCATCAGACAGCTGCTGCCACTGACTCCATCTCTCTGCTCCGTCATTTAAGCTTTATTTTTTTAAGAGGTTTTAGCCTTAGGGCACATGCGCTCACTGGAGAGTGAGCAAGCCAGCGAGGAGAGAGAGACAGAGACAATGAGAGGGAAAGTGAGAAATCACCCCTGAGGGGGAATGGTCATGCAGCAATCCCTTGTCCTCCATTCTCCTCCTGGGATTTTGGGCATGCATGCCCACATTCAGCATGATTCTCAAACTACCAGTATAGGACTCGAACCTTAACCACACACACTACCTGCTTGCGCAACCAGACTCCATTTCTGCTGACACCTTGATCTGGGATTTCCAGCCTCCAGAACTGTGAGAAAAAAATCTCTGTGGCTTATAAGTCAAACAGAAAATGGTATTTTCCAGAGACTGGACTATATGATGTTATATTTCTAACTTCCCTTTCTCTTGAGGTCAAGATAAATAATGTAAGTCAAGATTGATGAGCATTCATTTTTATTTATCATAATCAGGCAAAGAAGAAATGTGAGCTGGAGACGGATTTGAACAGGCCAGGGTCTCTTCCTTTCCTATCTTCCTCTTTCAGCATCAGAAGGATGGTGTTGGGGGAAGAGGTACCTCTTTCACGACCCAGGGATACAAAAAATAAAAGATAAACCAGGATAGGTCAGATAGCTCCAGGAAGGATAGGCTGCAGAGGCAGAGCAGAAGGGCAACTACACAGAACTGTACAGAAGGTGGCTGAAAATTCTCTCTGGAGTAGGGACATTCTAGTACATGTACATGCATTGAAGGAGGAAACTTCCCAATTTTGAAACACAAACAATAGGATGGGAAAGGCTTTTGAGCTAGGATCACTTGTTCATCTCAGGTTTTGGTTTGTTTGTTTGCTTTTAGTTGCCAGAGGGCATGTGTAGTCACCAGAGAGAGAGAGAGAAAGATACAAAGAGAGACAGAGCTGGAGAACTGACCCCCCGCCCGACAGGGAGTGATTTCACCACAGTCCCTTCTTCATTTCTCCCTCCTGCTGGGATTTTGGGTACTATGCACACATGCCCAGAGTATTTATTTATTTATTTATTTTGGAGAGGTTTTTGCTATAGGGTGCATGCGCTTGCCAGAAAGACAGAGACAGAGAGACAGAAAGTGAGAAGTCACCCCCCAGGGGGGATGGTCACGCCGCAATCCCTTCTCCTCCATTCTCCTCTCAGGATCTTGGGCACACATGCACACGCACCCAGTGTGAGTTTAAGCCACTGGGTCTGGGACTCTAACCGCGGTCGACTACATGGAAGTCCAGCGACATAGCCATTACACTAACTGCTGGTCCCATGCCTAGAGTATTTTGCAAGCTGCCAGAACTGGGATTCAAACCATGATCATCCACGTGGGATCTGGGCCAGCCACATCTCAGTTTTTAAAAAAGATAGAAATGGAATTGCAAAGACTCTATAACAGGGATGAGAAATTATAACAAACTAGGGAGAGGGGCCTTTGTAATGAATCATACATTTATACAGGAGGACATTCAAACAATTAGAGTATTTATAATACTTGGAGGTACATTTTAACATCTATTGGTCATTTAGGCAGTTGTGTTTTTTTAAAATTTGTTTTGTTTTGCTTGTTTCGTTTTCAGTTTTTCCTATAGAGACAGCAAGAGAGAAAAAGAGAGGGAAAGTGAGAAATCACCCCTTCACTCCAAGGTGGGATGGCCATGTTGCAGTTCCTTCCCCTTCGTTCTCTGCTGGAGATTTCAGGCACCCATTCACACGTGCTTGATGTATTTTTCAAGCTACTGCATCCAGGACTTGATCTGCTCAGTTGACTATGTGGGATCCATCCACCTTAACCACCACACCACTAGCTGGCTCTAGACAGACTTTTAAAACTCTCTTTTAGTTTGCAACATTTGAGATTCCTCTGGCTAGTTGTCGAAAGAATTATTTCCTAAGATAGATATTGCAAGTGTTGGAATAGGCATATCATTCAAATAGCTAATATGTACCAACTGATATCTGATGAGTAAATAATTTTCACTAGGTTGGACATCATGTATTGTCAAGCCCACTTTAAAATCCAATCATAATTAATGACAAATGCCTATTACAATGCCACATGGATTTTTTAATACGTGCATATTATTTTTAGGGGTGCAGATCATGCTACATTAACTTGAATTTAGTCTATGATTCCTTTATGAAACAAGATACAAGCAAATCTCATAAGCAGAGTTTTGATTATTTAACACAGTGAAATTTAATTTCAATTACAGATACATTCACATAAAGATATTCTTTGGCTACTACATAATGGACATATACCGAGGATGATAAGAATGAACAATATTTTCCACTTAGGACATTTATTTGTAACAAGTCTGAATTATTTAGGTAAAAAACAATAAATATGATGGTCATACTGTAATTCTGAATAAATAAATACGCTTGCTGTAGGGGTGCACATCTGTGTACACACGTGCATGTGTGTGTATGTGTGAGGTGTATGTGCATGTATCTATAATAGATGGTATTAAACCCAAGCTGACTTTGAAAAGGAGAAAATTAAGCACAGTACCATGCACTAGGTTTTCAGATTCCTTTATGTAATGCTGTCCAGTACTGCCTAAAGCCCTGGATGATTAGAGTAAGTGCAGTACTTGAATCTGTTGAGTCTGTTAAGTCATCGAAAACACGTTACCTATACAAACCTGGTTTGTTCCCTTTGTGTGGCATATACAGGAGCAGAGTGTGTCGCCATCTGCTTGTTTCTCAGAAACTTGTAGATCCATGTTTCCAACCTGAATATAGGAAGAGCCCCAAAGTACACAAGGGTTGCTCTCAGCTGAGGTGCTGCCGCTCACCGTCCACAAGCTCCAGCCTCTCTGGCTGTCCTCTCTCAGCACTCCGAAGTGTTCTGATCACAGCACCTCTTCCCAGCCTCTCCCTCCCTCTTCTCTCTCTATTTTTAAAGAATTATTTTATTTAACTTTATTCATTTACTTATTTTAATTTGACCAGAGATGAACAGAGTGAGAGAGAGAGAGAAAGAGAGGGAAAGTGAGAAAGCAAACCACCAGGGGCAGGACTCGAATCGTGTTTGGCCATGTGGGAATCCAGCGCCCTTAACCACCACGCCACCTGCTGGCCCCTCTCTCTCTCTGTTTTCAGAGGTTTCTGCCTTAGGGTGCGTGCCTCAACCTACCACTCCTGGATAAACTATGGAGAGCCACTCTTTTTCCCAGCATGCCATACTTCCTTCCCCCCCTCACTCTTTGAAGATGGGACAAAGGGGAAACAGAGAGGGAGAAACTCTGCTAAATGACAACGAAATGCAAATGGGGAACAGAATGAGCGCACCCACTGAGGTCAAGATGGGTTCTGCCTGTAACAAAAGGAAAGAGCACTTTAAAGTGGTCAACTTTATGATTATAAATGCCCTAAGACATTAAGACTTAGGGTGATCTAAACAGGACTTGGAGCAATGAAAGAAGGCAATGGTGTTCTCAGCTAAAAACTCTATATTTCTTTTGCTTCTGAAAGAACAAAATGAGCTGTGCACGTTCCTAAGATGACGGATGGAATAAAAAGGGTGCAAGGGTTTTATCCACAGAGGTCGTGTGTCACCAAGAATAGAACTTTAATTGAACATCATCTGCGAGATCTTCACCAGTTTAATAGCCCGCCTTCCAGGAATCTGGTTTCATCAACGTTTCCTTCCCCACCTGTTAGAAAAAAATAAACACTCATTCTTTGTTTCATAAAACGAAAAGTAAGATAAAGAGAACCTCAGGAAATAAACATATAGTCGTCTAAGCTATGTTAACTCGTGGACTTTGTTATTAAAAAAAAAAATCAAAAAGCGCTTCAATTCGTTCACTTTAAAAATTTCTCCCCTCAGTTTGGGACACAGTAGGGAATTCGCTTTTTGGATGTGAATATTCATAATGAGTGAGACTGCAACATGGTATGTTTGGTAGAAACCTGAAAAGACTACATCTTCTGTTTGATAAACCTGCCTCGCATCTAAAATACCCACCATTACAGCCATTCACTTGCATCAAAGTAGTATCTCTCTCTCTATCCCGTTAAAATGCATCTGAATTAAGAAAAAAGATAGGGACACACTTGCAAATATTCCCTTTTTAGTTATGCTAGAGTTCTGGAGAGGAGATGAAACAAAAAGAAGAGACATGTACTAGCTTGATGAGATTGCAAAACTTTAGAGCATGTGGTATCACTTCTAGGGTGGGGGTATCTAGGAAGTCAGATCCTAGCAGGTTTCAGGGACCCTAAAAAGAGGGTAGAAGGGCTAAACCCTAGCATGGGTTGAGGAGTGGCCTGAGGCAAAATGCATCTTATTTTTTCTAGAATTATCCCTAGCTAAAACCACATGTCCTCAGTTAGTTACAATGTAATTTGAATGTCTAGATTATCTTGCAAAATGTGCTAGCAATTCAGGTTTGGATATCTTAACCTGAAGACAATCAGGTGGCATATTTTGAAATATTGCAGATAATGGGCTGCTCTTCAAAAAGTGAAGGAAACAGGGAACCAGCAGTTAGCGTAATGGCTATGTCGCTGGACTCCCACATAGTCGACCGCAGTTCGCGTCCCGGACCCGGTGGCTTAAAACTCACGCCAGGCGCGTGTGCGTGCGTGCCCAAGATCCCGAGAGGAGAATGGAGGAGAAGGGATTGGGGCGTGACCATCCCCCCTGGGGGGGTGATTTCTCGCTTTCTGTCTCTATGTTTCTCTCTGTCTGTCTGGCGAGCACACGTGCCCTATAGCAAAAACCTTTCCAAAAAAAAAAGTGAAGGAAACACATGTGCATGTGACACGCACACACATGCACATCCAGAAAGGCATCCCTGTACAAACTTCATGGAAAGAAACATTCACTACATAAAATAAATACTTTCTAAATAATACCTAGAGACTTTAGAATAAAAATATTAGAGGAGACTACTAATTAATATATACCATATGGGAATCTAAAACTTTTCCATCAATTTGGACTAATACAATTTTGTTTCCTTATTTCATTTTAGAGACAAACCACTTTAAAAACTTCAATAATTACATATATTCTTGGGCCAGCAGATGGCACTGAGGTCAAGCAGCTGGACCCTACATGGCTGACTATGAGGTTTGAGTCCCAGACCTGGCAGCTTGAAAAACATGCCAGACATGCGTGCCTGTCCAAAATCCCAAGAGGAGAATGGAGGAGGAGGAAATGCAGCAAGGTCATCCCTCTGTGAGTCTGGGGTGGGTTGGACAGTAATAATTTCTCACTTTCTCTCTCTTTCTGTCACTGTCTGTCACACAGGTGCCCAATAGCAAAAATTCAAATAAAAATTTTTACTTCTCAAAACAAGACTTGAAATTGATACCTACAATCACATCCTTCCCTAAGACAGTTAATGATGATACTTCTGCTCTTTAAAACAAGCTCTCCCTTATTCTTTATTGCTTGCCATCCTTTCTGGCTCTGTCTCCTCAACAATCCAATCTAAAATGTCACCCTTAACCAATTTCCATCAGAGCTCTTTTCTTGCTGACTTCAAAAATTGGTAAGTTCCAAATCTTGAATTTTTTTTTTTTGAGAGGCTTTTCGCCATAGGGCGTGTGCGCTCGCCAGACAGACAGAGAGAGACATAGAGACAGAAAGGGAGAAATCACCCCCCAGGGGGGATGGTCATGCCACAATCCCTTCTCCTCCATTCTCCTCTCAGGATCTTGGGCACACGCGCCTGGTGTGAGTTTTAAGCCACCGGGTCCGGGATGTGAACTGCAGTCAACTATATGGGAGTCCAGCGACATAGCCATTACGCCAACTGCTGGGTCCCTCAAATCTTGAATTTTAGTGGATTGATACAGCACATGCTCATATGTGATTATTTAATCTTTTTTGGCCTCAGTTTTTTGTTTTTTTTTTTTAACTCTAAGAAAATGAAGTTGGACTTAGTTCTTTTGGTTTTAAGAATTCTAAGAGAAATAAAGATTGCAATAGAAGTCAGTTTTGGGGAGCAGATATCCTGGATCCCTCATGGTGACCATGGTTTTACTCCCTGACCTGACCCCATCGGTCTGCAACACACCAGGTACACAGAGTGCCCAGGATGCACTGAAGGGCTGGAGGACGGGGACAGCAGTAATGACCAGACCTTGTGTAGGGTACTCCTCTCTCTCTTTTTCTTTTTTTCTTGAGAGATTTTTACTACAGAGTGTATGTGTTCTCTGGAGAGACAGAGAGACAGAAAGCAAGAAATCACTCCCCAGGGGCATGGCCACACCACGATCCTTTCTCCTCCATTCTCATCCTGGGATTTTGGGCATGTACAGCCATGTGCCTACTGTGAGTTTCAAACCATCAAGTCCAGGACTCGAACCACAGTTGACTAGGTGGGAGTCCAGCTCTTTAACCACTATGCCAACTCCTGGCCCCATCTCTCTGTTTCTCATGTGTGTATGTATATGTTCTATCATGAATAAAGAAAAAAATTAAAGATTGCAATAAACTATGACTTGTGAACTTTATAGAAAACTCCCTAGTCTTACCAAGGAGAGTCACTTTAATAAGAAATACATTCACTTTTTGTTTCTTGGGGTTTTGTTTCTTTGTTTGTTTTTGCCATAGGGCATGTGTACCCATTAGAGAGAGTCAGACAGAGGGAAAGTGAGAACCCCCCACACGCACCCACGAGGGATGGCCATGTCACAATCCCTTGTCCTCCATCTTCCTCTCAGGATTTTGTGCATGTATGCACATACACCTGGCATGAGTTTCAAGCCTCCGGGTCTGGGACATACTGTGGGCAGCCATGTGGGAGTTCAGAATCTTAACCACCACGCCACACACTGACCCCAATATATTGGTTTATGGAATAAACACCTCTGTGAATTTCTCGAGGAGAGCAGTGAACTCCACACAGAGTCCACAAGTGAGTAAAGCTGCTGCTCTGTCCTGCAGCTGGCAGCAGTCACGATAGACGTACCTTCTCGCAGTTTATGCAGGGAAGCCAGCAACAGGGCTGCTGCCTCTGCCAGAGTTAGCACCTGGGGGTCTGGGCTTCGTCTTTCTGGAGAAACAAAAATGTGTAGGGAGGCCATTAGTATTTAAGTATCCATACAGATCATACTCTGCTCTGGTATACGACTAGAACAATCTCTGGGAGATAGAATTTTGATCTCTTTGTGTCAGCAGATTTTTATAAATGGAAACATTTCACACTTCTCTTGGAAATGACTTCCAATCAGTTATGTCGTGTTTACATATAGGATTTGGAGGGGAATTTTAAAATGTAGGCTGTGGAGGATTTCATGAAAGCAAGGACGATTAAGATAGAGTACACATGAGATCACCCCTTTTGCAGCTTAAAATGAGATGTCTGGGCAGAGACTTAGTCATGATCTTACTTAGTTCCTCTATCACCTCCTCACTTGTTCCTCCTAACCGGATTAGGATAATAAACTACATTCTGGGCCACTATATGAATGGAAGGCTATCTGCTAAATATCCAGCTATTTCAAATCTAAGTAAACAGAAGACAAACCATTCTGATTCAACACAGACAACGCTATTTAATTTGGAGACAAAGTGGGAAAACAAATCTTCATAAAGTAAGCTTAATTATACTCAATTTTGAAGCGAAACAAAAAATGTCTTGAGCACGTTTTCTGTTTTTCAAAATAAGTAATTTCTTATTTTTAGCATTTCAATTAAAACTTTCTGAAATTTAAGTGTACTATTGATTTTTAATCTAATGGCATGGGAAGATTTACCAAGAAAAATAATCATCCTTGGCCCCATTCTCCCCACCCCCCCAATTTGCTATAGGGCACATGCACTTGGGGAGTGGGGGGCAGACAGAGGGAAGTTACAAAGCACCCCTCAGCGGAATGGCCACATCTCAGTCTCTTCTCAATTCTCCCCGGATTTGGGCACACACTGCACAACCGCCCGGTGTGTTTTTTAAGCAGGTTCTGGGACTCAACAGGCACAGTCAGCCCTGGGGGACCTGCCGCCTAGCCAGGACACCACCGGCTGTCCCTGAGCCCCATTCTTAATGGCCTGCACGTAAGTACTTTTGGTTTTGAACTTTCCGTTTGCTTTTTCTAGTAATACAATAGAGACATTCGCTGTAAGTTCCTAGGTTACTGTTTAAGTGGAAAGTGAGTAAAAGCCCGGCCATAAATGAGCAGGTACATTTCTAGAAGCAATTGCATAGATGGTGTAGTTCTCTTTCCCCCTCTTCAACCAGCTGAGCCGAATCCCAAGCCTAACTTTTCCCAGAATAACTAGCTCCCTGGGGACCTCTGCACACCCACGCTCAGAGG